TACACACAGACACACCATGCATGTATATGCACAAGCTAAACAAATACATGCATGCATACACCATACATGTGATGTACACATGACTGAACATGGGCACACATGTACTCACAGTCATTCACACCCACACACGCACACAAATGCATGCAAATGTGCACCTCACCCACACATGCGCAGACACATGTGCACAAACACATGCATGCACACACTTATACACACATGTCTTCACATGCTTGATGTGCCACATTGCCCTGTGGACCTAACTCCTATGCACAGCAGTGGCCATCCCCACAGGGAGCTACTATGTAATTACCCTTACAGTAGCTCTGTAAAGTCAGCAGAGTAGAATTATTTCCCCATTTTGTGACAGGGATGCTGGCTCTCCAGGAATTGAGCAGACTTGCTGATCAAGGTCATGTGATGTGACCCCCTCACTCACAGCTCCAGAGAACATGGGCTCACTTGGGGTGTGGTTGTGACCACCTGGCACTGGGGATCCTGGGTGCTTGGGCAAACACTTTCAGGCCCCTCCAGCCCTTTATGCAGCACTCAGCTACACGCTTAGGACCCCTCCTCAGTGGGCCCCTGCTGCCTGCTGCGTGCACAACAGTAGTCCCAGGACCTAGTGCATCTTCCTCCCAGATGTCTCTTATGTTTTCCCTTCCTCTGCATTCTGAGGGTGCTGCACCAGTGCACATTCCATCCTTCATACTCATCTCTCAAGGTGACTTTGACATGCCACAAGGGTTGGGGTTTTTGCCCCCTACCCCAGAATCTGGATTGGCCTCTGAAACTGCCTCAACCAATAAATGTAACAATTTGAGGCCCCTGAAACGAGGTCTCAAAAGGTGATATGAAGTGACATCAGTGAAATAGAAGAGTAGGAAGTGCCAAGGGCCTGTCCATCCACAGAAACATGGAAAAAATAAGCAAAAACTGTCATAATCAACATTGTTATAACTTTTGAAAGGAGCCCAAGGTTTTCAGCAACCAAACAAATTCTGAGTCAAGGTGACTTTGTCAAGGTAGGAGAGCTTCATGCTGTTCTTACTTGGCCATGGCCCACTAGGCTCCATGGCACAGTTAAGTCTTGAGATGGCAATCTTTGTTGTTTCCGTGTGGGTAGATGGTTCTGAATGGAGTATAGTGGACATTTTCCCTGAGGATTTTGTCTGTTTTGACATGTCTGGGGTTTTCTGAAGGACTGAACTCTCTCAGTGGAGGATATTCCATGAACATATTAAAATCAAATAAACCAGCCACTTTTACCTGGGGAAAAAGATTATAGTTGACTGCCTGGGAGGAAAAGCTGGGGAAAGAACTACTTTGGCAAATAAAGGCTTTGAAAAGCTCCTGTGCATCCTGAGAGAGCTAAAGCCACATGCATATCAAGTGCAGGGTGCTTGCTCAGGAAGTATCTTAAGTTTTCATCTCCAGCTCATTTCCAGGCTCAGTGGCAGGAAGCAAAACTAAGGCAAATTGTGAGCAGACTAGCTAACAGAGAACGAGCACACAGCACACAGCTGATCTGCAAACACGAGAAGAGTAATTTTTGCTTTTTTTTTCTCCAGGATATTAGGGAAATTTCTACCAAACCATTATTAGCTGACTACAAAGTAAAGAAACAGATACTTCAGAGACCACACATGACAAAGAATACAGTAGTTATAAATAGTTTTTAAAAATCACCAAACAAAAAAGCAAGTAGAACTCACAGCAAATACAACAAACCCTGAGGAGGAGCAAGAATCTGGTTTCCAAAGTTACCACATTATAATATTCAAAAGGTAGATATTTCACTAAAAGTCATGAGGCATGCAAAGAAAAAAAGTCTAGCTAAAATGGAGAAATTTCCAGAAAAACACAAACTACTAAAACTAATTCAAGAAGAAATAGAAAATCTGAATAGATCTATAACAAGTCAAGAGATTGAATCAGTAATTTAATACTTCTCAATGAAGAAAAGCTTATAGAATTATACCTAACACTTAAAAAAAGAATCAACACAGATCATTCTTAAACTCTTCCAAAAAAAGGAAGATAAAGAAAAAAAAAAGAGGAAGGAAGAATTCCAAACACATCCTATGAAGTGATATCAAAACCAAACTATTGACCAATATCCCTTACAAATATTGATGTTGAAATCCTCAACAAAATCCTTACAAACCAAAATATCCAGCAGATTAAAAGGATTGCACATCATGATCAAAGAGCATTTATCCCAAGAATGTAATGGTGGTTCAATGTAGAAACATCAACCAGTACTAACACACCACATTAATAGAATGAAGATGACACATAAACATTTGAATTGATAAAGAAAAAGATTTTTATATAATCCAATGTCTTTTCATGATAAAAACACTCAACATACTAGGAATAGATAGGAATTTCCTCTACCCAGTAATGGGCATAAACAACAAACCCACAGCTCACCTCATACTCAATAATTAATGACTTATAGTTTTCCTCCTATGATAAAGGGCATAAATAACAAACCCAGAGCTAACACCATACTCAAAGTTGAATGACTGAAAGTCTCTCCCTGAGATGAGGAAGAAGACAAGGGTAAACAATCTCACTACTCTTGATTCAACAGAGTACTGGAAGGTCTAGCCAGAGCAATTAGGCAGGAAAAGAAATACTGTAAAAGGCATGTAAATTGGAAAGGAAGTATTAAAATTATTTCTATTCACAGATGACATGATCTCATATACAGAAAATCCTAAAGACTCCACAAAAATTACCAGAGCTAATGAATAAGTTAAGAAAAGTTGTAGGATACAAGATCAAAACTCAAAAATTGGTGCTAGTTCTATATATTAGCAAGAACAATTTGAAACAGAAATTAAAAAACAATTCCATTTACAATAGCATCAAATAAAGTAATATACTTAGGAATGCATTAACCAAGGATGTACAAGACTTGTTTGCTGACAACTACAAAACATTGATGAAAGAAATTAAGGAAGCCCTAAATAAATGGAAGATACCCCATATTTAAAAATTGGAAGACTTAATATTTTTAAGATGGCATACTCCCCAAAGTAATCTACAGATTCAGTGAAGTCCCCATCAAAAGCTCAATAGCCATTTTTTGCAGAAATGGAAAAGCTAATTTTAAGATTCCTATGGAACAGAAGGGACCCCAAATAACCAGAATAATCCTGTAAAAGAAAAACAAAGTTGAAGAATTTATACTTTCCAACTTTAAAACACACTACAAAGCTATAGCAATCAATATCATGTGCCACTGGCAGAAGGATAGACATATAGATCAGTAGAATGGAATTGAGCGTACAGAAATAAATCCCTACACCTACTGCCAATTGATTTTTGACAAGAGGCTAAGACCATTCAATGAGGAAAAAAGTCTGTTCAACAGATGGTGCTGGAATAGCTACATTTTCACATAAAAAAGAATAAGGTTGGACCCCAACCTCATATCATATAAAAAAATTAACAACATAAATCAAAGATTAAATGTAAGAAATAAAACTATGAAGCTGTTAGAGGAAAACATAGGTGTAAATCTTTGTAACCTTAGATTAAGCAATGTTTACTTTAATATGACATTTAAATAAATAAATTAGACTTTACCAAAATTAAAAAAAATTTGTGCATCAAAGGATACTGTCACAAAAGTGAAAAGACAACCTACAAAATGGGAAAAATATTTGCAAGTTACATATCTGAGAAATGTTTAGTGTCCAGAATTTATGAAAAATTCTAAGAACTCAAGAACAAAAACACAACCAACCAAATTAAAAACTGGGCAAAGAACTCAAACAGATATTTCTTTAAAGAAGACATACAGATGTCTAATAATCTTGTAAAAAGATGCTCAGTATCATTAGTTTTCAGGGAATTGCAAATAAAAATCACAGTGAGATGCCATTTTGTATCCACTGAGATGACTAAAGTGAAAAAAGGCAGAGAATAACAAGTGTTGTCAGGGATGTGGAAAAAAGGAATGTTTATGCCTTACTGGTGGGAATATAAAATGGTGCAGTTGCTGTGGAAGACAGTTTGGTGGGTCCTCAAAAACTTAAACATAGTATTATCTTGAGAACAAACAATTCTACTCATCCACTGTAAAGGCTTTGAAAACAAGTACTCGAAGATAGTTGTACACAATTGTTCATAGCAGCACTATTCACAATGGCCAAAGGTGGAAATAACCCAAATATCCATCAATGATGAATGGATAGTAAAATGTGATATATCCATATAGTGGAATATTATTCAGCCATAAAAGGAATGAAGTCCTGTGACATGCTACAGTGTGGATGAATCTTGAAGACATTCTGCTAAGTGAAAGGAGTCTTTTTCTCTCTTTCCACCTCCCTCACTTCCCACTTACCCGTGGGGCCCACCTACCACGTGGTAAGGGAGCCCAGGTCACATGCATAGGTCACCTGTGGCTGTTCCTACTGACAGCAGCATCGACTGCCAGATGTGTGAGAGAACAGGGATGGCTGAGGGGCATAGACCATCCCTGCCTGTGTGTGCTGCACTCTGATTTGTTGGACGTACAACACCATCATTGTTAAACCATGATGTTTTGAGAAAATTTGCTGTTCACCAAAAGTTAACCAACATGCAGCCCTCCTCTTCTTCCTCTTCTTCCCAAAATAACTGCTGGCTCCAGGATACTGGGCAGCTTGCCCCATGTGCCTCTTGGCCCCCAATCCTCTCCCTTACTGTTTTTAAAAAATTTCTCTCTAAGACTTGCCTGAAGCATCCTCTTGGAGCCGTGCAATTGCCTTGGGAAGAGAAGCTGAGAAACCTGCATGATCTTGTGTCCCTCCAGAGCTCCAGGAGCCCCTCAGAGCCAGGGACTATTGGCAGGGACCACACCAGATGCAGCCATCATGAGGTCTGCTCTCCTGTTGGAGGTGCTGCTCCCATGCCCAGCGCCAAGTGAGACACCAGGGCAGAGCAGAGCAGCTTGCTTGGGCCAGCCACAACCACAGGCTGCCACTTCCATTTGGAAGGCCTACCTTTGTCCAGCACAGGGCCAAAGATGGCCAGGCTATTGTTGATGGTGGTGCAATTCCACCGACGGCCTCGGAACTGGTGCTGGCACTCTTCGATGCTGATCCTGACACCCTCTGCCACGCTGGGCATGATCTCCACGTAGTTCCGGCAGAAGCGCAGCTGTTTGGGTACTAGGCCCGGGATACTGGCACAGAGGATGGGCTGCGTGCCCAGGGACGAATACTGGGGCCCAACAGCTAGGGACCTGGGGAGAAGGACAAGGATACCTAGTGAGTGGGATAGCTGCCTTGGAGGGAGCACAGGGGCCTTTTCCTTTGTGCACTCCACGATGAGACATGCTTGTACTCCGGAGGTGGCCTGTCCCTATACCAGAGATTTGACACAAAACCTTAAGATGTGCCTGTGGAGCAGTGGGAAGTGAATCAAGAAAGATGGAGGCTTGTTGCCCCAAGGAGGCGCTGCTGGTCCAGGGCAGGAGCGGTGGTAAGATGGGCACAGCAGTGGCAGAATCACACACCCTCTGTGCCAGCCCAACAGAAATAAAAACATGTGTCCCAAGGAAGATGTGCTCAAGAATACTCCCAGGGCTGTGATTGTGAGCACAAACCTAGGAGCCGCTGCATGTGCAGCACAGGCATGTGAATAACAGACAGAGCTTCTGCAGAGAGAAGCTCTGTGAGACAGAGGAGCCAATGTGGCAGAGAGGCCTGAAGCAGGTGCCTGAGCTCCACCTCTCTGAGACAGAAGCTGCCCACACCATGGGTGGGGACAGAAACCAGGGCGGTGGTTAGGCACACAGTAGGATGGGCCTGACAGGAGCAGAGAGAATGTTTCTCTGGCTGCAGAATGGTCCCCACTACCCCACAGGTGCCTGAATTTAAACTAAGTAAAATGACATCAAAAGAGAGAAAACTTGGTTTCTCAGTTGTACCAGCCACATGCAGCTCAAAGCTACCATGGTGGAGGGTTAGATATGGAGCATTTCAGTTCCTGCAGAGAGTTACACTAGACGACAGTGACAGACTGCTCTGTTTGATGGGGAGTTCATTACACATGTGTTTGTGTGTCAGAACTGATTGAACTATGTCCATTTTACTGTAGTAATTGCACCTCGGTTTCAAAACAACACTAGGTCCTCTTGGCAGGAGGAGGGAGAGAGAGCTTCTCCAGTCTGGCATATGATGCATAGTCCTTCTGCTGTGGAGGTGTCTCCCTCCACAGTGGTTGGTGGTACTTGCAGGCAGAGCTCGGCATCTCTTCATCCCAGGGTGGATGGTATAATCTTTTCCATCAACTGCTGATATCACAGAGGGTCTGCAGGGCCTCTGGGAAGGGGCTGCAGAGACCTTCAGGCTCACAGAAGAGGCCCCAGATCCAGGAGGCTCCCTGGGTGGGTGGTTCTAGGGGACCAGCATCCAAGGCTTCTGAATGCATTGTTGCCAGGGATCTGCTGACTCTTTGCTCACTCAGGCCATGGGCTGTGCACACACTGTCTTTCTCCTGAGGGAGCCCCCTTCTTCCTCTGGATTTCAGGGTATAGGGTGTCCCAGTCCCAGACCTAGAGCAGCCCCTGGACCCTCGCCTATCTGGAAGCTTGCTAGCTGGGCTGCAGGCGGGAGGAGAATGAGGACATGGGAGCTTCACTGATGCCTCTGCCAGAACTACCAGAGGTTCTTACTCAGCACCTCCTCTCCCCTGGGGGTGGAGCACTCTGAGAAGAAGGGATGAAAGCTTCTGTGTCTCTCAGCAACCACATATTCCCATGATGATACTGACATTTGGTAAGTTCTCCTCTAAGTCTAACTTAGTTCTATCTAGCTTCCATGAGAGACATTAGGGAAACAAACCTGCTCTCTGGAAGCACAAAGAAGATCCTACCGTCTTTCTCACTCTGGTCTTCAGAACCTTTACAAGCCATCTGGCTGTGAGGCATGAGGCCCGTGCCTTCCAGCCCCTGAGCACCCATGCCTTCCATAGCTCATCATTTCCTCACTACACAGCCCTGCTAGGATCTGGATTTCCCTGCCACCACTCACTCCTCTCACAGCCTGAGGCTCTGTACTTCTGCCACCTCAGCCTCCCTCCTACAAGGGCTCTTGTCTCACTCATCCCAGCTGCCGCATGGAGAACCTTCTCTGCTTGCAGAGCCCTGCTTCTTGGCCCTCGGCAGGCAACACATATACAGTTCCGCCTTATTAGTTAGCCAGCTGGAGAGTGGGTGACTTCTCCCTGGAAGTCTTGAGTGCAGGGTCTCCCACATGTGATGTCCTCTCACCCCATGCCCTCCTGTCCAAACCCCTCAACAGCCTGTGTGTTTCCCCTATTCCTGGGCACCCTCCTGCCCTCCAGACCCTGCACATCTCTCAGGGTCAAACCTCTCTCTTTCAGAATGTCCACTCATTTTGCAGCCAGATGCCCTACCAAAGCCAGGCTTCCTTCCCATGGATGCCTCCCCTTCTGAAGGGAGACCTGGTGCTTCCAGACCAGACTCAGCCTCTTGGGTCCCTCGCACGTCCCCACTCTGATATGCCAGAGTGCTCCCTGTCCTGTCTGTTACCTGCTTGAAGTGTTGATGAGCCACAAATTGCCATGACCGCATGCCAGACACCACAGGCCTCACCTTACCCCCATCTCAGTCTGTGTCTCTGTTGTGACGTGCGGTGGGTTGGCGGGGAGGGGCAGGCTCATTCGTTGACTCCTTGTGGAGCCCTGTTAGTGCTAAGCCAGGCTTCACTCTCCCAGGTTTCTCTCAAGACTGCTTCATAGTCTCAGGACCCCAAAGTTTCCAGAAAGGCTAGCCATCTGCTCTTACCCAACTGTTTGGTCTTTCCCCTCTGGGAAGCTTCCCGTAACCTGCACCTGGCTCTCTTGCACCTTGCTCTACAAGCATGGCTCTGAGTGGGGCCCACGTGGGCTGCCTCCACCATCTCTCAGGGACCCTGTGGCAACCTAGTGCTTGCCTTCTTGCTGGACAACATGGGGTCAAGTGGACAGATGTCAGGATGAGCAGAGAAGTTGGGCCTGGCCTGGTGCTCTGGCACAGGGCATGGGTAGGAGGACAGGGGAAGCAGTATGTCAGGGGGCAGAGAAAGCGCATAGCTAGCCTGCATGTCCCCATCACTCTCGGCCACTTGGGTGTGGAGAGCCATGAGGAGTGAAGCCCAGACCCTGGTCCTGTTTGCCACACCCACTTCCTGTCCAGTCCACTCCAGCCCATTTTTGTGCCACCCACCCACCAGATGGTCTTGTCCTGGCTCCAGAAACTGCACAGCCTGTGTGGACGCTGTGTGAAGATGGCTCTGCCTGCCCCAGGCCAACGTCAGCACCCGTTTCCAAACCTTCATGCCCCACTCCTGACGAGAAGCAGGTGCTGGGAGCTCCACACAGACGTCTCCAGACCAAAATCCTTGTAATGGCATATCCATTAGGCTGCATGCCCATCCCACTGGACCTGCAGCACCAAGGGAGGGTGCACCCTTGCCAGTGAGTAGGGAGACACAGGTGCTGAGGCCCGGGCACCCTTCACTGGCTGGGTGTCCAGCGGGAGCAGTTGGGGAGGAGCCCTGTGGCTCAGGCTCCTCTAGTAGCTCCAGGGGTGACTCCCGTAGGGGCCCATCTCTCACCAGGAGGAAAATTCACACAGGTTTTGAACATGCTTTCTGACTTAGAGACTCAGACAGACAGAGAAGAGGACCCTATCTCTCTCTCTTTGCCAGTCTCAAGGTGCTGGCCCCATGCCAGATGTGAGGCCAGGATGCATTGTGGGTGGGGCTACAGGAGGGTGGAGGTGCCCACCCCAGAGCCCCATAGCCCCACAGAGAGCCAAGTGCCTGCACCACCCTGGCCTTCCCCACCACCCTTCCTGCCTGCAAGTCAGGGCTAGGGCAGGAAGAGTGGACCCACCCTGCTTCCTTCATACTCCATGCCACTACTCTGGGAGATGCAGAGAGGGTCTCTCAGGTTCACAGCCTCTCCCCAGCTCATTCCTGTAGATGCTGAGTCAGCTCCCACCTGCCTCCTCCTGGATCTCCTCTGGGCAGGCCCTGGCTCGTCACCTTCCCAAGTGAGGCCAAGGTGCCAGTGGCTGCCAGCCCAGATGCTGCTCCAGCTGCTCCAGCCTCCACCAGCCCTAGCTGGATCCCTCTCCTACCCCATTAGCTTCTTGAATTGCTTCCAGAAAGGCTTCCCTGTCCAAGAGCCAGGTGGCCAAGGGGACCTGGGTAATGCAGACCCTTCCCGAGAAAGGCTGAAAGTCGGGGGCGGGGGGGTTTCCCTTCTTACAGGGGCAGGGCCATGTTAAGCAGGAGAGGGGCAGGGAAGGGCCAAGGGGTCTAACTGGGCCACCAAATGTTGGTTGGTTCTTAAAGGACAAATTGAGTCATTTAAAAAATCATATAAGCCCTGGCTGGTATGGTTCAGTGGATTGAGTGCCAGCCTTCAAACCAAAGGGTCACCAGTTCAATTCTCAGTCTAGGGCACATGCCTGGGTTGTGGGCCAGGTCTCCAGTAGGGGGCACGTGAGAAACAACCACATATTGATGTTTCTTTCCCTCTCTTTCTCCCTCCCTTCCCCTTTCTCTAAAAATAAATAAGCAAAATATTTTAAAATAAATAAATTAATAAAGAATCATATAAAATTTCAAACATGTTCACTAATCTTATGTGGTGATCATTTTGCAACATGTACACACATTTTATCAAATCATCATGTTGTACAATGTCACGTATCACTGCATCTCAATAAAGCTGGGAAAGCATCCATACTACACACACCCAGGACCCAGATCTCTAACTAAGGAGAAGGTAGACATGGTGTTCCTGCTGCGTGTTCAATCAGTACTTGGAAACCATGGTCTGTGGGTCCCTCCTGCTACACCCTTCCAGGAGGAAGTGGGGAACTCTGGGCTGGGGCTGGATGGGAACAGCCTCCATCTGCAGTAGTGGCTGTAAGGGGCTCAGTCTCCCAGGACCACCATGTACTGGCCTCTCTGAAGGTCTCCTAAGGACTAGAGGCAGCACCAAGTGGGACAGGAGCAGTGAAAGGATGCCCATGGAGACACTGGTGAAGCCGGCTGTGTGTGGCTGGTGGCACCGTGCAGGAGGGCTCTCTCCTCTGAACAAATGTGCTTGCAGTGCAAGATGTGAGTGTGAAGGGTAGTGGGTGCAGCATGGAATGGGAGGATGGAACTCATTGTGAACCAAGAGGAGGAGACACAGTTGTGAGGAAGCAGCAGACTGACATGC